TCTCTCCCGCTTTCTCCTTTCTTTTTTTTTTTTTTTTTTTTAAATATATTTTTATTGATTTTTTACAGAGAGGAAGGGAGAGAGATAGAGAGCTAGAAACGTCGATGAGAGAGAAACATCAACCAGCTGCCTCTTGCACACCCCCCACCGGGGATGTGCCCGCAACCAACATACATGCCCCTGACCGGAATCGAACCTGGGACCTTTCAGTCCGCAGACCGACGCTCTACCACTGAGCCAAACCGGTTTCGGCCCGCTTTCTCCTTTCTGCAAGACCTCTTTCACCTCCTCCTGCTCCTCACTCTCAGCTCATGACCTCACATCCTGTTTCTCTGAGAAAATAGAAGCAATTAGAAGAAAACTTATCCCTAGAAATATATAACCTTCCTAGACTAAATCATGAGAATTGGAAAACCTAAATAGACCCATCAGCAATGAGGATATTAAAACAACCATCAAAAACCTCCCCAAAAATAAAAGTCCAGGACCTGATGACTTCACCAGTGAATTCTACTAAATATTCGAAGAAGATTTAAAACCTATCCTTCTCAAACTCTTGCAAAAAAATTGAAGAGGCAATACTTCCTAACACATTTTATGAAGCCAACATAACCCTGATACCAAACCAGACAAGGATAACACAAAGAAAACTACAGACCAATATCTCTGATGAATACAGATGCAAAAATATAAACAAAATACTAACAAATGGAATACAATAATACCTTAAAAAAATAATCATAATACATCACAACCAAGTGGGTTTCATTCCAAAGAAACAAGAGTGCTTCAACATATGCAAATTCATCAAGTAATATACTACATTACAAAAGAAAGGATAAAAAGGATATGATTTTATCAATAGATGCAGAAAAAGCATTTGATAGATACAACATCCATTTGATTAAAACACTTAATAAAATAGGAATAGAAGAAAACTATTTCAACATAACAAAGGCCATATATGACAAGTCTGCAGCCAGCATTATACTCAATGGTGAAAAGCTGAAAGCTTTTCCTCTAAAATCAAGACCAAGACAAGGATGCCCACTCTCAGCACTCGAATATTCAGCACTAGAGGCCCGGTGCATGAAATTTGTGCCCTGGAACAAGGGTCCCTCAGCCCGGCCTGTGCCCTATCACAGTCTGGGACTCCTCGCTCCTTACTGCCCTCCTGCTCGCTGCTCCTTACTGCTCAGCTTGCTTCTCCTTAGCGGTGCCACGGTGCCAGGAGAGGCCAGCCATGAGCCCAGCTTCTGGCTGAGCAGTGCTCCCCCTATGGGTGCACACTGACCACCAGAGGGTAGCTCCTGCGTTGAGCATCTGCCCCCTGGTGGTCAGTGTGTGTCATAGCAACTGGTTGTTCTGCCGTAATGGTCGCTTAGGCTTTTATTATATAGACTAGAGGCCCAGCGCACAGGAAATCGTGCACAGTTAGGGTCCCTAGGCCTGGCTTTGCTCCGTTACTGGCCTCTGCCACCTGCGACACTATGTGAAGCTCCCTACCCTGGAACACTCTGCAATGCTCATGGCCCCGCAACTGCCCCGCAAACCCCCCTCCCCGCCCTGCCACTGCTCTGCGAGGCTGTGCCCCGCCCCTTGACTGCTTTGCAAAATTCCCCCGCCCCACAACTGCTCCACAAGGTTCCCCGACTGCTCTGGGAAACTTGATGCCACCCTGCAAAGTAGCCCATCACCGCCAACACTGCTCAACAGTCCCCAATCCACCCCCCCACACACACACACACATACACACACACACACCCATCAAGAAGGATGGGGGGGACCGAGAGGTGCACCATGCACTTCATGATAACTGGTTGTCGGTTCCGTCATGACGGAACCTGGCTCTTTATTTATTACTAGAGGCCTGGTGCACAAAATTCATGGACAGGTGGGGTCCTTAGGCCTGGCCAATGATCAGGGCCTATCTGGGCCGTGCCAGGCAGGGCCTGATCAGACTGGGCCTGCCAGATGGGGAAAGGGACCAGAGGAGGTTGGCTGGTGTGGGAGGTTGGCTGTGGGAGCACACTGATCGCCAGGGGACAGCTCCTGCGTTGAGTATCTGTCCCCTGGTGGTCAGTGCACATCATAGCAACTGGTCGGCCAACTGTTCTGTGATAACGGTCACTTAGGCTTTTAGATATAGATATAGATATATAGATATAGATAATATAGATATAGATATAGACACAGATACAGATATAGATAGTTCTGCCAGAGCAATAAGTCAACTGAAAGAAATAAAAGTCATCCCAATCAGGAAGAAAGAAGTAAAAGTGTCACTTTTTGCAGATAACATGATTCTTCACATAGAAAACCCTAAAGATTCCACATAAAAACTATTAGAAACAACAAGAAATACAATAAAGTTATAGGATACAAAATCAGTGTACAAAAATCTGCCTTCCTGTATACTAACAATAAAATTTCTAGAGAAAAAATTCCTTTTGCAATTGCAACCAAAAGAATAAAATACCTAAGAATAAACTTAACAAGGGATGTAAAAAACCTATATACTGAAAACTATAAAGCATTATTAAAATAGATTGAAAAAGAGAACAAAATAGAAAAAATATCCTATGTTCATGGATTGGAAGAATCAACATAGTTAAAATGGCCACATTACCCAAAGCAACATACAGATTTAATACAATCCCCATCAAAATCCCAATGTCATTTTTTAAAGAAATAAAACAAGAAATCATCAGATTTGTACAGAACCACCAAAGACCCCAAATAGCCAAAGCAATCCTGAGAAAAAAGTACAAAGCCAGAGGTATCATACTACCTGCTTTCAAATTATACTACCAAGCTACAATAATCAAAACAGCATGGAGTTGACAGAAAGAAAAAAACACACACAGATCAATGAAACAGGATTAAGAGCACAGATATAAAACCACATGTATATGCCGAAACCGGTTTAGCTCAGTGGATAGAGCGTCGGCCTGCGGACTGGAAGGTCCCAGGTTCGATTCTGGTCAAGGGCATGTGTCTTAGTTGCAGGCACATCCCCAGTAGGGGGTGTGCAAGAGGCAGTTGATCGATGATTCTCATTGATGTTTCTAACTCTATCCCTCTCTATTCCTCTCTGTTAAAAATCAATAAATATATATATTTTTAAAACCACATGTATATGGGCAAATAATTTTCTACAAAAGAGACAGAAACACAAAATGGAGTATATATATATATAAAAAAAAATAAATTAAAAAAAAGCCTCTTCAATAAATGGTGCTGAGAAAATTGGAAAGCCAACTTCATAAGAACTCCTCTTGCTAGAGTCACTGGTGACCTTCCAAAGGGCTCTGTTTTCTGTCTTCATCATACCTGACCGTCTTGAAATTCTTTTTTTCTTGGCATCTGGGAAGCTACCCCCTGTGGCCACAGTCCTCAGACCTCCCTCACCTGTCTACACACACTCCCTGCTCTTTGGCCAACAGTTCCAGAAAGGACTAGTAGCTATGCAGTGTGGTTCAGAATCTAGACTCTGCCTGAACCCCAGCTCCAGGGTCATTAAACAAAGGTCGTACTGCACCTCGCTTTCAGGCTATCGCTAGAAGTTAGCAGCATGCCTAGCAACTATATCGCTGGTATCAGGTTGCCATGGGTGGTGGTGGCCAGAGGTGTCTGAGGGGAGAAGGACAGAGTTTGGTGATGTGCAGGGAGGGACAGAGGAGAGGCCAACCCCCCGGCCCTATCTCCATGTTAAAACCTGCTGCGTGCCCAGCCAGAGTGTCTCGGTTAAGCATCAATCGAACCAAGGTCATGGTTCGATTCCTGGTCAGGGAACATGCCTGGGTTTCAGGCTCAATCCCTGGTGTGGGAAGCAGCCAATCTATGATTTTCTCTCATCATTGATGTTTCTATCTCTTTCTCCCTCTCTTTTGCTCTCTGAAATCAATAAAAATATATTAAATAATAAAAATAAATAAAACTGCTGCAGGTGAAAGGGACAGCCATGTTGTAAGGTTGACATAGAATATGAGTGGTGTGAAAATCAGCCCGCAGAATGCTTGCCCTTTAAAAATTAGACCTCTTTAAAGAGTGTAATTAATTAAATGCCCACAGATGATCCCTGTTAGAAATGCAGATCATCTACTGAGCTGGCACCAGTGCCCTTCCCTCCCCTTTGCTCCCCTTCCCATAGTTAATCCCAAATTCCATGTAGGAGGAGTCATCAACAGGCTTTAATGATGGTCCATCTACACCATGGAATATTATTCAGGCATAAAAAGAAATGAAGTACCAAAAAAATGAAATGAAACACTGACACATGCCACAACATGGATGAGCCCTGGAAACATGATACTAAGTGCAAGAAGCCAGACACAGGTCACACACTGAATGACTCCATTTACATGAAATGTCAAGAATAAGCAAATCTATAGAGATAGATTAGTGGCTGCCAAGGGAGTGAGGGGGTGTTAGGAGGAAATGAGGGTGAGTGCTAATCGGGGATTCTTTGAGGGCAATGAATGTTCTAAAATTGATTGTGGTGATGGTTACACAATTCTGGATATGCTACAACCTTTCAATTTTACACTTTAGATGGGTGAATCATATCTAATAAAGCTGTTATTTTTTAAAATTTTAAACTTTGACCCTAAAGGTGGCCAAAGTCCAGGGATCCCCTACAGTAGAGGGTTCCAGGATGCCTTTTTTTAGCCAAAGTGGGATCTGGCTGTTCTGATGGTGTCGTTAGCACAACCCTTCTCAAAACAAACGTGCCCTCATCCAGAATGGCTGGAAGTTCAGGTGAAAGACATGAACCCTAAGAAGGTGGGTTTAACTGTAGCCAGGAGGGGGGCTGTAAGTACAGAAGCTGCTGCAGATTTTTACTTTACACAGCAGCATTGGGGGGAGGGTAATATAGATTTTTCTCATTCTTATCTTACATGTTGCTAAAATGCTATTCTTCTTTTTGGACAAATGATGTATTCATTTCCTGTTGCCGTGTAATAAATTTCCACATATTTATTGGCTTAAAACAGTACCTGTTTATCATCACACAGTTCAGGAGGTCAGAAAGCCAGGCATGGCATGGCTGGGTTCCCTGTTCAGAGTCTCACCAGCTGAAATTGAGGTGTCGGTTGTGGCTTTGATTTCATCTGGAGTTCTGGTCCAAGTTCACTGGATGTCGGCAGAATTCAGTTCCTTTTGGCTGCAGAACGAGGTCTCATTGGCTTGCTGGCTACTGGCTGGGTTGGCTCTCAGTTCCTAGAAGCCATCCTCAGGTCCTTGTGTCCTGGCCTCCTCCATCTGAACAAGAGAATGTCCCAGGCATGAATCCCTCTCTCCATTCAAATCTCTCCAAATTCCTCTTCTAGAAGCAGCCAGAGAAAACTCTCTACTTTTATATATATATATATATATATATATATATATATATATATATATATATATATATAATTTTTTTATTTTTTTTTTTCAGAGAGGAAGAGAGAGGGATAGTTAGAAACATCAATGAGAATCATCGACCAGCTGCCTCTTGCACACCCCCTACTGGGGATGTGCCCACAACCAAGGTACACGCCCTTGACCGGAATCAAACCTGGGACCTTTTAGTCCACAAGCCGACACTCTATCCATTGAGCCAAACTGGTTTCGGCTAAAACTCTCTATTTTTATTTATTTATTTATTTTTATTTTTATTGATTATGGTCTCACATAATTATCCTTATTCCCCCATTCCCATCCCAAACCCCTCCCTAGATATGCCCCCCTCCCAACCCCCATTGTCCATGGCCACTGGCTAGGCCCATATGTATGCACACAAGTCCTTTGGTTGATCTCTTCCCCTTACCCCCATCCACCCTTACTTTCCCTCTGAGGTTTGAGTCTGATCGCTGGTTCTCTGTCTCTGGGTCTGTTTATGTAGTTCATTATTTCCTCTAGATGTGTGAGATCAGTGATCCAAGAAATAGCCTTGTAAGGACCTAAACTGCAACAATATTTATTTTTTAAAATATATTTTATTGATTTTTTTTTTTTTTATTACAGAGAGAGAGAGGGATAGAGAGTTAGAAACATCCATGAGATTCATGAGAGAGAAACGTCGACCAGCTGCCTCCTGCACACCCCCCACTGGGGATGTGCCCACAACCAAGGTACATGCCCTTGACCGGAATCGAACCTGGGACCTTCCAGTCTGCAGACCGATGCTCTATCCACTGAGCCAAACCGGTTTCGGCTAAAACTCTCTACTTTTAAAAGACTCATGTGACTAGGTCAAACAAATGGATATTGTTAGCTTGACATTATCAGGATAATGTCTCTATCTCAAGGTCAACTAAGCACATATATAGCATAATCCAATCATGGGGGTGATACCCTATTCACAGGTTCTGCCCACTCAATGGAAAGAGAGTATAAGGGCAAAGGTCATTGGGGGCCTTAGAAGAATTCTGTCACCACAGATGAGGGAAACAGGAAGGAGGTACAGAGAAAGTTAAGGGACTTCCCTGATGCCATACAGAGAAATGGAGATGGAACCTAAACAGGAATCTAGGGTCCCAATCCTAATTTGAGGCTTTTCCTCTAAGCAAATATGCCATGAGAGTGTGTGTGTGTGTGTGTGTGTGTGTGTGTGTGTGTGTGTGTGTGTGTATAAGAAGGGGGGTGCAGGTGAACAGATGGCCTTTTGAGCTCTAGTACATGTGGGACCCCAACCTGTTTAGGAGATGGGGGGTGGTGGATACAAGTTCTTGGGTCAGGAATGAAGGCCCCATAGAGGCAAAAAGCCCCTGCTTGGGAGGGGATCCTGAATACTCTAAGGAAGATAGAATGGGGGTCAGACACTCAAGCAGGGGTTTGGAGCATATCCCAATATCCCCCAATGCCCTGGTCTCCTTTCCTACCCTAGAGGCAGAGATCTCTGGGCCAACAAGGCTGAGGTCCCCCAACCACTAGAGGGCGCCTGGCACAAAGGATTCTGGGAGAGCAAGCAGAGTGAACATATTTAAAGCCAAGGCAGAGATTGGGGTGGAGTGGCTAAGCTCCAGCCTCCAACACCCCCAAGGCCTTACTGATCTTGGAGACACTGGGCTTGTTCAGAAGGCTCAAAAGGTCCTGACCTCCAGAGGCCCACTTCCTTTGTCCAGCCCGATCTGACTCACTTTGCTCATAAGCAAGATCTTGAAAAGGGAGCTGGAGCCCTGGCTGGGTGGCTCTGTTGGTTGGAGCATCATCCCGTACACCAAAAAGGTTATGGGTTCGATTCCTGGTCAGGGCACACATCTAGGTTTCAGATCCAATGCCCGGGTGGGGTGTGTACAGGAGATAACAGATCAATGTTTCTCTATCTCTTTCTCTTCCCCTCTCTCTAAAATCAATAAACATATCGTTGGGTGAGAATAAAAAAAGGAGGGGCTATGCCCTAACCAGTTTGGCTCAGTGGATAGAGCATCCACCTGCAGACTCAAGGGTCCCAGGTTCGATTCTGGTCAAGGGCATGTACCTGATTGCAGGTACATACCGGGGGGGGGGGGGGGGGGTATGCAGGAGGCAACTGATCAATATTTCTCTTTCATCGATGTTCATAACTCTCTATCCCTTTCCCTTCCTCTGTAAAAAAAAATCAATAAATATATTTTAAAAAGGGGGCAGGGAGAATCCAAGATGGCTGCTCCGGTAGGCACCTAGCCTCAGCCGCACACAACAATTTCAATAAAATACAACTAAAATATAAAATGGACATTACCCAGAACTACAGAAAAGTCGACTGACTGGAAATTCTACAACGAGAAGCAAGGAGAAAACCAGAAGGAAGAGCAGAGGAGCTGGAAAAGCCTAAGGTACGGAGACACGCGGCGCGCGCGGAGAGGACAGAGCCGGAGAGGAGGGAGGCTGAGTGCCTGGTTGGCGTTCCCTAGTGGGAAGGAGATAAAAGCTCCGACTGTGCTGGGCCCCAGTTCCGACTGCTCTGAACCCCAGTTCTAGGCCAGATCCCGGGGACCCAGGCTCACACAGAGGGAGCTGGGCTGTAAGGCGGAACCCCGGGGGAGCGGCAAAAGGGGACGGTTGGCTGTGCTGCTGGATTGCCCTGGCGGGAAGGAGACTGGGGCTCCAGACTGCTCTGAACGCCACCTCCAACTCCACTTCCAACTGATCTGAACCCCAATACTGGGCTCATTGGGGGAGAGCCTAGACTGTTCAGTAGCAGGCGAAAATCAAGGGCACCTTACTCTCAGAGGCGCTTGCAGCCAGTACTGAAGGACCCTGAGACTCAGGAGCCACATAGGACGGGGCTGACGGAAGCCAAGGCTGTAGGCTCCACCCTGAAACCCCGCCCCATCAGGGAAGCTGTGAAAATGCCAAGATGAAATAGATCACAAATGAAAGAAATGGAGGACAAAAAGCAACTGGATATAGAGTTTAAATCTACGCTTATAAGGTTTTTCAAGAATTTCCTAGAAAAGATCAATAAGACCTATGAGGATATGAAAAGGGATCAACTAGAATTAATAAGGAATCAACAAGAAATGATAAGGGATCAACAAGAAATGATAAGGGATCAACAAGAAATAAAGAATACGTTGTCTGAAATAAAAAATATTATACAGAGTCCTAAAAACAGAATGGAAGATCGCAAGAATGAAGTCAAAGATTTGGAACATAAAGAGCCAGAAGACGACACTCCTCCGCAGAAGCTAAAGGCAAGAGAATCCAGAAAATTGAAGATAATGTAAGAAACCTCTGGGACAACCTCAAGGCAACCAACATCAGAATTATTGGAGTCCCAGAAGATGAGAGAGAGCAAGATATCGAAAACATACTGAAAGAAAAAATGACAGAAAACTTCCCCCACCTGGTGAAAGAATTAGACTTACAAGTCTAGGAAGCGCACAGAACTCCAAACAAAAGGAATCCAAAGAGGACCACACCAAGACACACCATAATTAAAATTCCAAGAGCAAAAGACAAAGAGAGAATATTAAAAGCAGCAAGAGCAAAGCAGGTAGTTACCTATAAAGGAGCACCCATACGATTGTCAGCTGATTTCTCAACAGAAACCATGCAGGCCAGACGGGAATGGCAAGAAATATTCAAGGTGATGAATAGTAAGAACCTACAGCCAAAGATAATCTATCCAGCAAAGTTATCACTCAGAATCGAAGGTCAGATAAGGAGCTTCATTAATAAAAAAAAGCTAAAGGAGTTCATCACCACTAAACCAGAATTATATGAATTGCTGAAAGGGGTTCTTTCGGAAGAAAAAGTAAATAAAGATAAAAATTATGAACAACAAATACGTAACTATCAACAAGTGAATCTAAAAACCAAGGAAATTTTTTTAAAAATCTGATGAACAATATTAACTGTTGAATATAATAGAATCAGAGGTATGGAAGGGGAGTGAACTGACGATTCTTGGGGAAAAGGGGAGAGGGGGATGTGGGAAGAGACTGAACATAAACTGTGCACCTATGGATGAGGACAGTGGGGGGTGGGGAAAGGGCAGAGGGTGGGGTGGGAATCTGGTGGAGGACAGCAATGGGGGGGAGGAACATTTGTAATAATATGAACAATAAAAATTTATTAATTAAAAAGGGAGGGGCAGGGGGCCTGGAGTCTACCTGTGATGTGTCCTGTGTCCTCTGTCCCCCCTTTCTGGTTCTATTCCCTACTTTCAGGCCCGTTACTACAGCCCACTGGAGTGGGCTCCTGCCCTCATCCCTCTTCTCTTCCCTCCCCTCACCCTCCACAGTAAAGTTCCACCTCCCTCTGCGAGGGCTTTCCCCAGGGAAATGTCTCTGCTGTTCACCTTGTCCACAAGGAGGAACCAGGTATGCCTTCTTCAGCAAGGTGTGTTCCCTTTATAAAAACTCAACCTGGCTGGACTATTTCGGTTTTAAATGAAATGGCTGTCCTAGCTGATTTAGCTCAGTAGATAGAGCATCAGCCAGCAGACTGAAGGGTCCCAGGTTCGATTCTGGTCAAGGGCACATTCCTGGGCAGCAGGCTCAATCTGCAGTGGGGGATGTGCTGGAGGCAGCCAATCAATGA